ATGGGCCTTCGTGCGATGATCGTCTGCGCAGAGTGAGCCACCACAGATCATTCATTGCTTATTAGTCAGACCATGATTAGTCAAAGGTTGCTAGCCCTTAAGAAGTCAAGCACGACCTCTAAAGTAATATAAGTAGGAGAATAGTAACAAAAGCCTGAGAGAGGGGATGAAAGGCATTCAGATTTTGGTAATTATAGTCTAGTTCTGTCCTGGGCTTGGGGAGGTGCCCATGGCTTGAGTAACGTATATTTTTGACTGCGGTCAACCATGTTCATGATGGCGGTAACGATGGACTTTTCATCCCGTGAATTTAGGTAGCCAATCAGGGCGGTGTTCTCGTATCAGCTTAGATAGGCGCCTAGTCGTTGGACCAATAAGCCATTACATTTCCAAATTTTCCTTTCACACTCAGGCGCGGTCTTCGCTGCATTGATTATTGTGAGTAGAGTTAAGAACTGCTAATGTTACGACGTCAGCCGTCTAAGACTCCCTCCTGCCTTTTTTTTGAAGCTGCCCGCTTGTAGAATTTTTACCACTTTTTATTTTTTTTCGTGCCAAGCACGAAGTTATCTTCTCTCGTGGTTTCTAACCTAACCAGCGGCTGTTTTTAAAAATTCAATATGCTCGTTGTTCTCCTCTTCCCCAGGGCACTTCTTGGCGGCACTGTACAGTCAACCGAGAACTTTTAATAATCTCCGCCTGCCCTTCGGGCCGCTTGTGGGCCCTCTGTCGGCGGTTTGGTCGTCTTTGGGTTACGACCCGGCCCGTCCCCATGATGACAGCCACCGATGATGACGACGATGCCGAACTGACCTGGGTAAGCATGGGTCTGTCACCGCAGGGTCTCGCCTGGTCTCTGGTTTCTGTCGGTCGCCTTGCTGCTTCCGCTGAGGAGGTGAGTTCCAGCAGCGGCAACTGTGTAATTTGGTGCGTTGATACGAATGGTCAGCTGTGGATGTCCACGGGACCGGAGTTCTCCGATGAGGGCGTGCCAACTACCCCTCAGGACGGCACTGCACCTCTAAGGTGGTCCTTCGTCTCCGCGCCTATGATTTCACATCTCTCCTGCGGCCCCGACGGTCAGGTACGAATGCATTTTAGGACTTCTTTTGCTGTTGTTTGTGCACATTGCAGTTTATCACGTGCATTATCTCACGAAGAGGAGGAGGAAGAAGAAGAAGAGGGGGCAAGTTCATGTACCGAAATATATTTTGAATAACGTTTCCAAAACGCACTCGTTTCCTTCCCGAGAGTACCGAGCTTACTCTTCCATGTGCCTTGAGTGAATTTGCTTCACCGACAGCTCCGTATTATACCCGTGCTCAGTGCTTAT